AATCCACTCAAATTAAATTTTTTTAATTGTTTTTATTTTTCTGTGCATGAATGTATTACCTGCATGTATGTAAGTGCACCTGTGTCATTCAGTGACCACAGAGGACAGAAGAGGGTGTCAGATCCTGTGGAATTGGAGTTACAAACAGTTGCTAGCTGTATGTGGGTGCTGGGACTCAAATATGGGTCTTCCGCAAGAACAGCTAGTGTTCTTTACCACTGAGCCATCTCTCCAGCCCCCAGTCATAAATTTAAAATCTCTAAAAAATGAAAAGCAACTACTATTGTTGAAAATATTGGAATATGGAATTCATATCTCTTAAACATTTTGAAGAAAATCTCAATGAATGTTGTAACTTCCTCCATCAATATTTATTTTATTATTCCCACTATGTGCATTCAGTACACCTAATGCGTGGCATTCAAATTATTTTAAAGCTTTACCACTGTCAATAAGGAATGATGCACATCTGAGGGATGAAAATGCCTTCTGTGCAAATAGAATTCCAGAAGGAATAGTTATTTCCTTAAAAGGTACGTAGTCAAGATTCTTGATATATTATTTCAAGTATTAATCTTAAAATTTAAAAATCTATCTTCCCTCTTGTGATATATAATGTACCTGTTTTAACCTTTTGCAACTTTGATAATAATATTTTATGGTTTAATAATAAAAGAAAGCTATTAAATTTTATCATATTTCATTGATTTCCAAGACATGTACACATACAAATATATACATGCAAACATACATAGTTACGTTTTCAATTCTGTTAATTTTTCACTTTCCTAATAGTTTAAATATCATTCTGATAGTTAACTCATTTTTATGTTATGAAGACACAAACCTTTTTTCTTTCTACTATGCCAAAATTGTATTACAAGGTGATTTATTCGTCAGTTTGCTATAGATTTACCAGTATATACAGGAATTAACTTTTTCTTACATTTATTTTTATTTTTTACAGTACAAAGGATCAAACACAAGGCCTCACAAATGCTAGGAAACCACTTGACCATTAATTTACCTCATCAACAGGCACATGTAATAATAAATAGTTTTTAAAGTGCCTTTACTATTATTTTACATCTATATTCTGATTAAAATTTTTCATTTAATTTTATTATCCTTGATTACAAATTTAAAATGGTCTCTTCAATTTTTGAAAACCACATTTTTTTGCATTTATACAGTCTTCTAGTTGTTTGGAATCCTGTATTCTTTTGTTAGTGCTTTTAATAGTTTTTCTTTCACTTAAATTCCTTGAATTTGTAAAACACATTTTTCTAAGTTCATAAATTGTTTCATAAGCTCATATGTTTTATCAGGTAAGAGAATTTTAACATAGTACAGCATTTTGAGTAGGAATATTTCTGTAGTCCATAAATCTTTTATATCCTAGAGTCCTCATATTTGTGAATAGTCTATCATCATCTAAATTAAAGGTTTGTTAGTACTTAATTTTGTTTGCTAAGCAAGTGCTATACTACTGAGCTACAACCCTAGTCCAGTCATCAATTTAAACTCATAAACATTTAGTCTTATTCTCAGTGCCTCAAATTGAATTCATCTTGTCTTTCAGGACTTTTTAGTATACTCCTTTCTGACTCAATGGACCAAGTGAACGATTCTGTGGTAACTGAATTTGTTTTATTGGAACTTCCACAGTCCTTTGGAATGTGGTGTTTCTTTTGCTTCTTCTTCTCTGTATTTTACGTGGGAATTATTTTTGGAAACCTCCTCATTGTGGTCACAGTGATTTTTGATTCTCATTTACATTCTCCCATGTACATTCTACTGGCAAATCTATCACTCGTTGACGTGGGCCTTTCATCTACAACAGTGCCTCGGATAATATCTGATCTTTTCTCTGGTTGTAAAGTTGTTTCCTTCCACAGCTGCATGACACAAATGTTCTTCATTCATGTTATGGGAGGAGTGGAGATGGTGCTGCTCATAGCCATGGCATATGACAGGTACACAGCCATCTGCAAGCCTCTGCACTACCTGACTATTATGAATTCCAAGATGTGCATGACTTTGGCAATAGCTGCTTGGACCATAGGCGTGATTCATGCTGTGTTTCAGTTTATTTTTGTCATAAATTTACCATTCTGTGGCCCCAATAATGTGGGAAGCTTTTATTGTGATTTGCCAAGGGTTATAAAACTTGCATGCAGGGATATTTATAAACTAGAATTTGTGGTCACTGCCAACAGTGGTTTCATATCCATGGGCACTTTCTTTTTCCTGATTGGATCATACATCTTTATTCTGGTTACTGTCCGACAACATTCTTCAAGTGTTTTATCCAAAGCATTCTTTACTTTGTTAGCCCATATCACTGTAGTAGTTATGTTTTTTGTACCATGTATGTTCCTTTATGTGTGGCCTTTCCCAACTAAGTCATTGGATAATTTTTTTGCTATTGTTGACTTTGTTGTCACTCCTGTCTTAAATCCTGTCATCTATACATTAAGGAATAAAGAAATGAAGTTAGCATTCAGAAGGCTAAGTCAACAGGTTCTAAGGTCTAGGGAAATTACATAGTAAAGTTGATTAACAAAAGCATAGAACAATGCCATGAACCATCAAGACCCCTATGATCACTTTAAACACTATGGACTGCAAACATTTCTATGTTGCCTTTAGAAAACTGAGGGGTATGCAGCTCAAAACTCACTCAGGGGCTGGAGAGATGGCCGAGGGGTTAAGAGTATGTGCTATTCTTCTACAGGACCAAGGTTCAATTCTGATATGGTAAGCAGCTCTGTATCCCTCTTCTAGCCTTCAGAGAACTGTGCACATACCAATATACATACAGATAATCAAAACACTTGTACAAATAAAAATAAATGAATTATTTTTTCAATTTTTAAATTTTCATACACTATAATTTGGTGGCATTTAGGTTCTCTCCCCATCCCCTCATTGCCCCTGCCCAATTTAATGTACTCTGATGCAAGGCCTACAGAGTCTCATTTGTATCCCCAGATGTCCTTCAGTGTGGGTCATACCACTGAATCCTGGTGAACCTAACAAGAGTTCCATGCTGGGAATTTTTTCTGTTTTGAGCATGCGTGTGACTTATGCATGCTGTTATTGTTGCTTTAAGTTCAAATTAGTAACTGATCTGCTGTCAGGGAAACTCTGTCACCTTGTGATTATCCACCACCTCTGGCCCTTACAATTTTCTGCCCCCTCTTCTACAATGATCCCCGAGCCTTTGGAGGCAGAAGTTTGATATAGCTGTCCTATTTAGGGATAGGCACTCTGCAGCCTCTTGTTCTCTGCTGGTTGGCCAGTTGTGGGTTTCAGTGTTAATCACCATCTGTTGCATAAGGAAACTTTTCTGATGAAAGTTGAGATGAACATTAATTTATGGATATAACAATAAATCGTTAAGAATTAGTTTAATATGATAACTACACACATATCAATAAATGTACAGGCAATCAAAAGATGTACAAATAAAAATTAATAATTCATTCTTAAAAAAGGATTTAACATCAGCAGAGTTTTGGAGTCCTCTATCACAAAATTGAAGCGTTATACATTTTTTCTAAGTATCATGCCTAAAATGTAATTATAAGCAATTACTGTCATGTTATTTTATGTTTGTAAAAATGTGCATACATGTGTACAGTGTAACTTTATCAGCATCTTTATGCTGATGGGAGACATCACTGGATATTAAAAGATATTTTTTATGAAAGTTATTTGAATCCAATGGATAAAATATTGGTCTAGTAAACTAACAAATATGTAAATTGAAAAAAATATTAAGTGTACTGTATGATAGTTGAGTAAGAAAATCAATACTGTTGCAACTCATGTGTTCTTTCTGGCCTGATTTCCATGTTTTAGAAATAGACTGTAGCACCTTGAATTATGCAAAATTGGTATGTACCACACTTTTCTAATAGCACAGTTTTGCTGACCCTGTGGTTTTCTTCAAAGAATTTCAAAATCTGCAGAAAAAGATATCTATAATTTATAAATATTTAATGAGAGCTTTTGTAAAGGAAAGTATGTCACTAAAGAGCTCGAAAGTTTACTTAATGTGCGTGCTCTGAAGCTAAAATGCTTAGGACCAAGAAGGAGTTGACATCCATCAGATAAAACCTGAAATACCTGGTGGTCAAGAAGCACAATCTTAGATATCCCTTGAATGTATTTGTCAGACTTACTTTAGAAACATTAGTTGTTTTGTCTCAACTCACTTTAATTTTTTTCTTAGTAATTAGAACTGAAAAATAAAATGAACTAACAATTGTAATGTCCTAATATTGGTCAAGGAATTGCTCTGTATAGTGTCTCCACTTATTGATCATCAATGTCTAAAGCTATTCTCTTTTGATAAAATCTAAGCATTTTCTTTCACCCTCTGATTAATCTGTTTAGATTTTAATTTTGCAATATTACTTTGTTTTACTATTTCTACCAATCATACTTAGATTGAGATATTAAAACTACCCAATTAGCCAAGAAATTGTGGCAATATTCCTTAACTCAACAAGTGTTTGTGTTTCTTCTAATGGCCAAGGGAAAACCAGTGAAACTATAAGAGTCAGTCGCTGCACCCAGTACTCAGGATGTTTGCAGATGTGTTCACCTGCTCCCGGTTACTATCATGAATGGCTCTTCATTAGCCAGATTACTGATGAAGACTGTTCACATCAATGCCATTCTCTTAGAAATTTTAATGTTTTAATAGTATGTATAAAAGGGATTCTATGAAACGTATGCTGATGTCTGTGAGATCAAGGCCAGCCTGGTTTATATATCAAGTTTGAGGCCAACTGAGGCTACAAGGAGATCCTGTCTCAAAAACAAAAACCAGAAACAAAAAAGGGAATCCTTGTTTTCTCTTAAAACTACTGTCATCTAGGTATGAAAGAGGTAAGTGGAATGGTGAAACTAAAATATATTAGCGAAAAAAGTAGAATTTTATTGGCAGAGCAATGCTCTATTTGAGGAAACCCATTCTGCAGAATTTAATTATGCTTTGTCTCCAAAAAAATCCTATAGGTTTGCCTGAAATACTTAGAATTGAGATAAATAATATTAAAGCAGATAACTTGTTAACAGTGTTCTAGTGGCAAGAGTCAGTGGATACTACACTTAATTTCTCAGGACTAACCTATTCTTTCCCCTCTATTTAGCCCTATACTCTTCTTCCTTTCCTAAAAATCTAGAATTTTCTTGCCCACATCTTAATTTCCATATTATAGTCCCAGTAAAACCTAATTTGGACATTTCTTTCACATAAAAGTTACAAAGTCATTGTTACATTTGTGGAAAATTTGAAAGCTATTAACTCATTTTGCAAATAGAAAATGAAGGCTCAGAAATATTTAATAGTGTGCCCAAGATCAAACCATGAATTTGTGCTTGAAACCATGTCCCTCCCTGATAGCTCAATATGTACAAAGACATCTTGTGTTTTCTTAGTAAAAAAATCAATGCATAAGATGTTTATGAAAAGAATATAATTTTAACAGTTGAATTCAAAGCCTAATGTAATAGAACGGGAAATTTTTTTAGATTTATTTTGCCTAGTTCTTCAGTACTGTTAAAATGGACAGTAAGATTCTGGAGAACGCTTTCAGTGAACATAAATTAATGATTGAATCATGACATTCTTCTAAAACTTCTTGAGTCTTTTATAAGAGCCATAAATGAGCTTTTATGGGGAGTATGTTGGCGAAAAGTCCCTTATAGCTGGGGATACCATTTTGTCACTTTCCTTTGAGCAACATAAATTCAGGAAAGGTGAGCAAAAGTGAGCTACCAAATAATCTGAAAAAATGCTATTACTAAATTCTAACTTTCTACAATCTTAATTTTTCTCCTCCTGCAAAAGAAAACCATTCTGCCAATCATTATCCTTAGCATGTTTCTAATGGAGATATAATTTAATTTTTTTTCCTTCTCTGTCAGTGAAATGAAATGGATTCACATGAGGAAATACTTTAACTTTAAATGTCACTGATATGTCCAAGGTCATTGAATTACACCTTTAGCTGCATAGGCCTCTAGCATGTAAACTCACATCTCAAGTACTATGACAGGTTAGTTGATGGTCTTTTCACAATCGTTCCTTGACCTTTTTCTGCTCACATTACCATAAATTGAAATTATTATGTATTGTTAGGCTTAAAAAATTCACTCAACTCTACTTCCAATTACTTCCTCTTTCAATTCACATTGAGAACCGAGTCAATTTGTTAAACATTTTTTTTATAATTTCTTGATGGGTTTCCATTGTTTCCAAGACAGAACACAAATCTCCTCAAAGAATTCCAGAATCCATTTCAAATTGTTCTCTCTTTAAAGTCTTTCATACTACCTCTCATGCAAATTTTATCGAATTTTCCAAACTCCATCTTTGAAATCTCCATTAGAATTATTTTATCCTATTACCTTTTAATTATTATTTTTATTTTGTTGTTCTTTCTATTTTTCATATGTTATTTCATCTTGGCAAACTTATTTTTAACCTAAGACGCTTAAAATAAAATAACTAACGTAAGGTACGTTCTACATATTATAGTGTTTTTGAAGTTTAGAGGGAAAAAGTGGGAAATGTATAATGATAGTAAAGACTTAATCCAGCAGAGAGAGATGCACAGAAAATATTATTTGTTAGGACGAAGTCTAACATGAGTAGCAGTACTGGGATGACTTGAATACTTAATTATAAGGAAACCAAGGAAGAAGGGTAGAATAAATTATGAGTTTTAATTTTTAGCTTTTGAAACTTATATGCAATGGACTGTACAAAGTCCTTTACAAACAAGCAGAAGGATAAAATGTGAGATGGGATTTGACTATAACTCTGACTTCAGTTTCATTGTCTTTTCCAAGGTGACCACAGAGGCTTTCTTTTGGAATGACTCAACAAGGGAAACAAATTACTCTTTGGTGACTGAGTTTATCTTTCTTGGACTCTCCAATTCTCAAGAACTTCAGATTTTTTTATTTGTGTTCTTCATTGTTTTCTATGTAGGAATTGTGTTTGGAAACCTCCTTATTGTCATAACCGTGGCTTCTGACACACACCTGCACTCCCCCATGTACTTCCTGTTGGCCAATCTCTCTCTCATTGATCTATCTCTGTCCTCTGTCACGGCTCCCAAGATGATTACTGACTTTTTCAGCAAGCACAAAGTCATCTCTGTCAAGGGTTGCCTTACACAGATATTTCTCCTTCACTTCTTTGGTGGGAGTGAGTTGGTGATCCTCATAGCGATGGCCTTTGACAGATATGTAGCAATTTGCAAACCTCTACGCTATACTACAATTATGTGTGACAATGTATGTGTTGGCATTGTGGCTCTTGCATGGGGAATTGGTTTCCTACACTCAGTGAGTCAGTTGGCCTTTGCAGTGAACTTACCCTTTTGTGGTCCTAATAAGATTGACAGTTTTTATTGTGACCTTCCTAGAGTAATCAAACTTGCCTGTGCAGATACCTACAGGTTAGATATCATGGTCATTGCTAATAGCGGTGTGCTTACTGTGTGTTCTTTTGTTCTCCTGATCATCTCCTACACCATCATCCTAATGACCATCCAAAATCGCCCTTCTGATAGGTCATCCAAGGCTCTGTCAACCCTGAGTGCTCATATCACAGTAGTTCTTTTGTTTTTTGGACCTTGTATCTTCATTTATGCCTGGCCCTTCCCCATCAAGTCATTAGATAAATTCCTTGCTGTGTTTTATTCCGTGGTCACTCCTCTCTTGAACCCCATTATATACACACTGAGGAACAAAGAGATGAAAACTGCAATGAGACGACTGAGAAACTGGAATTTGAACTCCTGGCTGAAGCCTTAGATCTTCTGTAGCTGTGAAATGGACATAATGACAGAACATGGAGTTAGTAAATTATTCAGCAATGCTTATGAAAATTGTAGCTTTACATTTTCACTTCACTTATTATTGATCAAAAAAAGATTCCCATATATTGCCTCAGTTTATTCCACAACATGATGATATCTCATCCTTTTGATACCATTAAAAATACCACCCTCTCAAAATTCCATTTCACTAATTTTAAAACAGTTAAAAGCATAATTTTTTTAGTATTTTTGCACAACTAAGACTTTCCAGATACTTTTGGATTTAAAATGATAATGGAAGCCTACTTTATAGTTAAGAAATATTTATTTGACTCATTTTCCCTAAAAAATAAAGGAACTACCACCTGCCTAACTAAAAATGTGCTTAGTGATAATGATTTAATGTCAACAATTGAGGCTCATAGAGAAAATTTCTCCCCTTTTCCTATAGCAGTTTATGATTTACCTCCTTCCACTTTACCAATCCACAGCCTGTAAGTGCATTATCAGGAATGACAGGAAGGCTGAATTTGCCAATATGATGTTTGCTTCTATTTTACTTGGCACTCTGTGGTATACTATAGTTGCAAATAAACAGTAAGAAGCATTTAGTATTTCAAACTTTTACCATGTTTGCACAAATTATAACACTTAGATTCATACAAATATCATTTCCTATTAACAACATTTTTATTGGGTTTATTTGTCGTTTTTTTGTTTATTTTATATTTTAGAAAGAGTTTCAATATTTATCAATATCTGGCCTGGAATTCTCTTTGTAGATAAGGATGGCCTTGAAATCAGAGAAGGTTAACCTGTTTCTGCTTCTAGAGTGCTGGGATTAAAGTGTGAATAACCATGCCTAATACATTAATAGCATTTTAGGCTATAAAATTAGCTGGGTTCAGTTACTTGCTAATCACAACTTTCACATTTTTTTTATTTTAAAAAAATGTTTGTATTCAATTGTTGTGACTTTTGTATATTTTGATATTTATACCCTCCCCCAATCTACAGCTCTCTTAAGGTTTCTACACAATTTCATGTGCTCTGTCATATATACTAAGGTCTATCGAGTCAAATTTGTGTCTTCAAACGCCCTTCAGTGTACATATATCCACTGGAGTTTTGTTAACCCATGTAGCATCAGACCATTAAAGAACACTGACTCTCCCTCTCTTACCAGATATCAGTTACCAATAGTTATCCAGCTAAGTTTGGGGTTTCTTACCCATTTGTCCACTTCTATGCTGGGATTTTGTCTAGCTTGAGCTTATGTGGGTATTGTGCATGCTGTCACCATTGCTGTGAGTTTGCATGAGTAACATTCCAACTGTCTGAAAAAGTGTTTCCTCCTGCTCATCCCCTGTACCTTTTGTAAGCTTTCATTTCCACATTTACTAAAAACGAGATCATGATATTTACTGCATACGTTTATAATAAGAAGCAGTGAGATAATAGAGACATCAGACAATGCAAACTTGAGACATATTCAGCACTCAATGAATATTCACAGCATAATAATTTCCATATGATTCCTCTATATATTATCATAGTCAAGTGTTCTCAATCTTTGATGTTTCCTAACTTACTTGAGGGACATGAGATAGTCCAATCTTAACACGTGCTCATTTGAGGTATTGTAGTTACAATTGAAAGTGTTTATAGTTATATGAAAATGTATGCATTTGTGTATGTATAATCATGTCCTCACATTTTGCCATCCTAGTGAAGCTTTATAAATGTTCAGGACATAAGCAGAGGAGAATATAAGTTGATAAAATGATTTGAAAGTGATTCTGACCAGCTTTTCATCTCTCCAGTGCTCAATCTGGAACTAGCTAACACTGAATGGCAGATATTCTCAGGAAAAATAATGTAGTCTGATGAAGTGTGACCTGAATGAATAGAACAGGAAAGTTAGATGATAAAAGGGTTCAAGCTGTGTCCACTATAGTGAAAAAATAGAATATGAACCTAAAAGTATATTAAAGTGCATAAGAAAGACAAGAATTTGACAGCATCTCAAGTCACTGGGAAAATTAAGGAGCTATTAATAAAATAGTGGTATAAGTAGGGGGGAGCAATGTAGAAATGGAGACATTGAGTCTAATAATCATATCATGTACCAGGATAACTTCTAAATGAGCGCAAAACATGAATCTATTTAAAAACTATACAAGTATTTTAAAACTCATGAGTTAATAAGTTGTAATTCACAAATGTAGAAAAGATTTCTGATAACTATATAAAATTGATTTTAATGTTTGATGAAGCTTTCTAGCCTATAGGATATAACATTCTTAATCTCAATATTTAATAATACAATCTGTGGAATAAGTTATAGGAAAAAAGGAACTCTAACTGGTCTAGTTTTTTGTTTGAGTTTGTTTGTTTGTTGAGATAGGGTCTGCCTGTAGCCCCAGATGGCTGGCTTAGGTCTCACAAAGGTCCACCTGTCGGTCTCACAAAGGTCCACCTGTCTCTGCCTCCTGAGTGCTGGGATTAAAGATGGGCATATTTCTTGACAATAACTAGAAAACTTAAGATGTAGCTAATTTTTCATGTAGAAATTTGACTTCCACTCTAAAATATATAGAAGAAAAAACATAAAACAGTAAGTCATAAAACTAAAAATAGTAAAACAGGAATTATGAATCAGGAAATGATAAATGCTGATATAATACCTGAATTGGGATTAGTAACAACTCCTTGCTTAAGTTATATACATGGAATATTAAATAATTAAAAAATGAACCAGGTCTCCAGTCAGTATTCTAGAATAATACAAGGTAAATGACAGTAATAAATTGTGAAGCAGTCTCTATAGAATGCTCATTTTTATGTCAAAACAGAGACATGTATATTTGCATATACATATAATTTCATGAATATTTAAGAAATATTTAAGAAAGCATGCTGAATGCTAACTTTAAAATGAAGTACATTTTTTCTTCATGCAGAGAAATAAATAAGTATGTTAACTGGACTTTCTTTTGGTCCTTTTTGAGACAGTCTCACTGTAGCCCCAGCTGGCCTAGACTGTCTATGTAGACCAGGCTGACCTACATCTCAAAGATATCTACCTGCCTCTGTCGCCTGAGTGCTGGGATTAAAGGCATGTGAAACCACACGCAACTCTTGACTTTTATGAATATATCCTATTTTATAATTTTTACTTGTAAATCAGAACTGATTTACATAATTAAAAATTAAATCATTATGGTTGAGGAGCTAACACAATTAGTAAAATGTTGACCATGCAAGCACAAATACCTAAGTTCATTTTTCACCCATATAAAAATGCCTTACATAGTAATGTACACTTTTCTTTCAGTCAGATTTGCATTTTTATTTGGCATTACACACAAATTACTAAAGACTTCAAAACAAAAATACAGCCAAGCCTTATAGCATAATATTATTCTTCATTATCTGTATTTGATAACTAATATCTATTACAAAAATAATGGTATTTAAAGCTCAAAACAACAAGCAGTGACCACAATCCCTTTGACAGCACTGGGAGACTATCTTTAATATGTTAATATAAAAGTCTAATTTCCAACATGTTTAACAAATTTCACTCATGCTAACAAATACCTATTAGGTTTTTCAGGCCTCCAAAATGCTCATGTCTTCAGAAGAAATCACTACTTGAAATCTTTAGGTCACCCATTCATTATTAGCAAAAACCTTACAAAAAGATAAACCGTACCCTTCTCTTTTCAATTACAGTTATTAATGACAAAATTCATTTACCATCCTATAAATCACTGAAGTTTTACAGAAAAGCACCTACAAAATTCAGTTTTAAAAAATATTCACAGTGTACTAGGCCTTAGAACACATATGGCTGGATCCTAAGGACATGTAAAAGATGAATTCAAAGACCTCCCAAGCACAAAAAGCATCATGAAACCCACAGAACTACTATTCAGTATAGCTTCTTAAAATGCAGCAGTACTGTGCAGTGGAGTACATGAGGTCCGGTGTGGGGATGGGGAAGACATGGATGCAGGAGGTGTCTGGGCTTGAAAGAGAACTGTTATATGAGAATACAGAGCTCAATAAAAAATTATATATATTTTTAATGTAGCACTACACAGAGATACATTATTACATATTTAGCATCCATCTTTATTGCTAGATTTAATGAAATCATGCTATCTTATCTCAAAAAGAGAAATCTAGTCCAATGCTAAACATGGTCTATCTCAAGATAACCTGAACACTGAAAGGCAATAAGTAAAATACATGTACAAGCAATGTACACTTTAAATACCAAAATGATGTGGCAGAGAGGTAAAGCCCTGGGGCTTGCTGGCCAGACAGCCTGAACTAATTGGTAAGTTACAGGCTACTAAAGGATTATATTTCCAAAAGCAAGGTGAATGTCTCTAGAGATGTCCTATGACCTCAATACAGATATGTGCACATGTACATGGTTTCTCCCTGTGTGAACATGTGTATATATACACACATACATACATACACACACACACACACTCACACACACACTATTGTTTCATTCTCAATAAATTTAGAAAAATAAAAACAGTTTTGGGAATTATATCTAACCATAATGGAATAAAACCTGAAATCAATAGCAAAAGATACCCCCAAATAAGACACAAACTCATGGAAATTAAGCAACACACTATTGAATGATGAATGGGTAATTTAAGAAATCAAGAAGGAAACAAACATTTCTTAGAATTAAATGTAAATGAAGACAAACATACCAAAACTTCTGGGATAAAATAAAAGTAATCTTATGAAGGAAATTTATAGAGCTGGAGCAATGGCTCAGCAGTTAAGAGCACTGGTTGCTCTCGCAGAAGACCTGAGTTTCAATCCCAACACCCACGTGGAAGCTAACAACTGTCTGTAACTCCAGTTCTAGGAAATCCAATGCCCTCTTCTGTCCTCCATGGGCATTGCACCACAGAGGTGCACTTGCATATGTGTAAGCATAAGACTCATACACATAAAATAAAAATAATTTTTTTTAAAAAGT